TGGCATCCAGCCCATCCACAATAAGCCGGTGCCTCATTTTTTCTTCTGGGAGGCAGTTTAGTCTTCTTAGACAAATACTAGGAGAGACGGTTTCAGGGAGAGGTCAGGCTTTAGCCCTTGTAATGTGAGATACTTCAAATGGAGTCTGCTCTTGTATGGTTGCCTTTTACTAGCTAGCCACAACTGTGTCTTGGCTTTCTCATTCTGTCTCTCGCTTTCTCTCCCTGCCTCATTTCATCCATCACTGAATGAACATTGAGCAGTCCTGCAGTTTACTTTGGGCAAGAGCAGCATCTGACAGCCCAGACACTTTTAGCCTGATCCAAGGGTCTTTGATCAGAAAAGGGGACTAGAATAGCATGACGACAAGCCTTCCAGAACGCACCAGAGATGCCATTGATTCCGGACACCTTGGAAATCCATGGGAACAAACTATGACTTGTGCTTCAATGTGCAGCCAGGAAGTAGACAGGCAGCAGAAACGATGAATATGGGCGAGAACCATCAAAATGTTTGCTAAGCTTTCCTTGAACTCTGGTCTTGCTTTTGAGTGACTAGTTTGAGGTCAGACTTGGGGGGTCCGGATTCTGCTCAAGCTCTGGGCACAGATTTAGTAGATGTGTGTAGAAAATTTGCATCGGATATGGGGGCATAATTTGAATTAATTACTCCCAACTGCTTCCCTAGTTGCTATCTTTAACCTGGCTGGCTTGTGCTCTCAGGTAGAAAAAGGGCTGCATTCTAATGCCCATATCCCGTCTCCTCACTAGCTAAGTCTCTCTCTCCGACTGCTGCAGCTGGCTGTACAACCGCTATTCTCAAGGATGACTGAAAGGAGCTGGCTCAGGTCAACAACTGAAAAACCTTGGATTGTACTTTTGTAGACACTTCTCTTGCAAGAGAATAAACAGCAGAGCTGTTTAGATGGAAAAAATTCTGCTAATAGTCTAGTCAGAGCCATTTCATTAACTCCCTTGAGTTCAAGAGTCCAGCCATGACGCTTGTCCCAAGATCCCGTGGGTTTGCGTTATGGAAATAATTGGCACATGTAGGGAATTCTGAGACTCAAGCACCAGTGTCAGCTCTTTGTTCTGATGGCAGCATAGGCCCTGCTAGAGAACACTGCTACTCACTTAGCTCTGGCTCAGGCAGGGGGTCCCCCTGAGCCTGCTCTGTGTTCACACCTAGATTGCAAGGTAGCAACCACTGGCTGAGCTCTAGAGCAGATTCCAAGGTAGTGGGCTAGTGTGCATTGCTCCTCTGAGGCTACAGCAGCCACTGACCATTGCAACAATCAAGACACGATGGGCCTTCAGTTCATCCCCATAAGTGCCCTTACAGTCCAGGGGCTATCAATCTGTCTTCGCTCAGCATCCTGCTTGCAGATCAGTTCCTCTAGATTCAAAGACGGGAGATGTATACTGCAGCTCACTGGCACTAACAAATCAGTGTGCCTGGCCATACGTCTGCACCTGAATCTGAAAACCAAGTTCTTCCACCCACTCTAATTAGGAAGACAAAAGCCCATAGAGCAGAGCTTTAATTTGAGCAGCTATGAAAAGAATGTGTATGCTGCAGGTTTCTTCTGTGGTCTTTGAGCCACTTTTTATAACTGCTGAGGAAACTAAAAATATAGAAATCTGAACCCTTCTCTTTAACTCTAGAGCAGCACAGTGAGCTGTGGTGGTGTCTAGCTTGTCATGGCTAGATTCAGCACCAGCACAGATGTAGTGTGTAACAGCCTGTGATAGCCCGATCATGTTACTATGCTGACTTACCCTATGAATATGTACTCTGTGCTCAGCGGGCAGTGAAAACGGAGAGCTTTCTCCACATCTGATGCCAGAATATCTTCCCTCAGCTAGCACACCTGAGGAGCTGTTCCCTTTTGACACCAGGGTTATGTCTACACAAGAGCTGAGAGGGTGCTTCCCAAGGTGGGTAGACAGACACACTTTTTTGACTAAGTTAACACACTAAAAAGAGAAAAAGAGCAGTACAGCTGGGTTGGCTTGGGCTGTCTGCTAGATTCCAAACTCACCTAGAGGAAGGACATGGGGTCGGGGGGCACCGCCCCTCACTGGACACCGTCCCATGCCACCCCTAGCCAGGGGGAGGTCCAGGGCACCCAGACCATGCCTCTTCCCATTGCTGAGTGCGGGAGGAGGTGGTCATGCCCCTCCTTCAAGTGACACAGGCAGGAGCTGTGGGAACAGAGTCACATTGCTCCACTCTCCTTCCCCCCCACTCCTGGTAAGGGAAGGAACCTGATGCCTGCTGAAGGTGCCAACCCCCTCCCTGTTAATCTTAGGTTGCCAAGAGGCTGTGGCCCCTTGCCCCTCCCACGCATGATGTCTGTGTGGGGGAGGGGGAGGGTCACATGCCCCCTTGAGTTCCCCTCATGTGTTGCCCCTGCCTGTGTGCATGCTTGGGTGGCTAGCCTGAATTCCCCCCCAACCCCACTTCCATAGGCAAACTGCTGTTCTAGCATGCCAGCCAGAGCACAGCACAGACAGCAAGTCTCTATCAACACACCCTCGCACAGATTCTGCTCACACGAACCAGCAACCGGAAAATCTAGAGTAAGTGATTTGCCTGAGTAGATTTCCATTCCTACTCAAAAGCAAATGTTTGGTTTTAGATCAGGTCAAGAGGAATGGTAACAGTAAGACAGAAGGACTTTTGGATCTGAGACAGTGACAAGCAATCTTCAGTTAGAGCAGCCTTTGCAATGGGTATGGGTGAGAGTCTCTCTCTCTGCTGCTCACACACATCACGCCCACCATGGGACAGATGCTTCCATTTCTCTCCTCCTCCCCATTTCTCTCTCCCAGTTCTGATTTTTTTTTTTTTAGATTTTTGTTTTAGTTTAGTTCCTCTTCCCGGGGTTGACCCTTCCTGTGCTGCCCGTTTTCTAAAAGCTGCATGTCTCTAGTAGCTTTATGGGACTGTGCTCCTGTGGGATTCAGTTGAGGCAAGGAAAGAGAATCTTGGCAGACAGTGGCCCTTTACACGGGAGCAGCTCCCAAGGACGGGTTGCATTAGGAACAGCTGCAGAAGCAGGAAAGGAAGGAGAACAACTATCAAGGAGCTCTATCCGCCATTTCCCCTGACCTCTAGGTTGCAAGTAAATAAACAGGGCCATGCAGCTTTCTTCCTTCCCCCTCTACCTGCTCCTTTAGAGTAACTTAGTGCCATCTAGAGTTAGGAAATGTTACGGGAAGATGCTAAGCTCCTGATTTTACAGTCTGCCTCAGATGTTACCTTATACCTGGATGGACAAAGCAAGGCCCACAGGCCCAATGCACCCCCATGGGGTTTTTTCCCCCCATAAAATTGATAGCAGTTCTCATCTTTAATAGAGAGGAATAGCAAGAAAACACTCTTCCCACATCCCAGCATGCAGTGCCACACTGACTAAGATGAAGCACCGTATTGTGGGATTTCTAGCCCCACAGGCTGTCTCTTGCATGTCTGTAATGAAGATGAGGGTGACTGAAGTCTGTTCTCTTTGATACAAGTTAAGTGAAGTCCTAGGGTCTCTGTCACATTGCCAGAGCTGTCTGCACTGCATTCCCTACTGTCACATCTCCCCATGATTCTTCACTTAAACAAAACTCAGGCACTCCTGCCTTCTGCATTACCATCCTCCTTACACATCTTCTCACTGGGATCCATCCCCTCAGCAATCACAGAAAAATGGCATAAATGAAGGACTATCAGACTTCATGGGGAGATCTCAGAGGAGACTGATAAACCCAGGACCTTGCTAATGTGGTCTATTCACAAGCAGTCCAAAGGGGTCAGATGAGTGCAGTGGCAAGCAGTCTCCCTTTAAGAGCACTTAGTACCAGAGCTAGCCTTACAGAAGGCTTTGGATTGGCTGAGCTCCCCCTTCTTCTGTCATCTAGAGAGAAGGCAGGCTCCCAGCTGATAACAAAGCTCTTCCACCCACTGTAATTAGGAAGATAAAAGCCCACTGGAGCAGAGGTTTAATTGGAGCAGCCATGAAAAGAATGTTTATGCTGCAGGTTTCTTTTATGGGTTTTGAGCCACTTTTGTAGCTTCTGAGGAAACTCTAAATGTAGAATTTATTCTCGGTGGGCAGAACTTCTTGTGTCTTTTCATGCAGTGAGAGAACAAGAGAACTCTGGAGCTGTGTCTACATTGGTGCGATCTTGTGCAAAAGCGGCTGTTTTTGGGCAAACTTGCTGCCTGTCTACACTGGCGGGGAGTTCTTGCGCAAGATCATTCCAGTGTAGACACTCTTCTGGAAGAGTTTTTGCACACGAACTCTTCCGCAAAGGAGTTCTTGCGCAAGATCATTCCAGTGTAGACACTCTTCTGGAAGAGTTTTTGCACACGAACTCTTCCGCAAAGGAGTTCTTGCGCAAGATCATTCCAGTGTAGACACTCTTCTGGAAGAGTTTTTGCACACGAACTCTTCCGCAAAGGAGTTCTTGCGCAAGATCATTCCAGTGTAGACACTCTTCTGGAAGAGTTTTTGCACACGAACTCTTCCGCAAAGGAGTTCTTACGCAAGATTATGGCAGTGTAGACGTAGCCTAGGGATGTAGCAGCTGTTGGTCTCCTGGCTGGAACTCCTTAATGGAGGTTACCAGTGTGAAATAAGTTGATGGGTCTCTGTTTCTGCGGGGACAAACGTCCACATTACAAAAACTACCAAAGTACTTTCTTTCAAATGGGTAAATGTACTACTGGTACTTTCTTTCAAATGGGTAAATGTGTAACAAATAGGCAGAAATGCTAGGAAGAATCCTCACTCTGTCCAGCTGTGGGCAAATCTAGCCTTTGCCTGTCATGAGACCAGCAATGCCCCATTCATGTCTATGGAGGACGGCAACTAATTTTGGGCCCAATCCTGTCAAGTGCTAAGTGTCTCCAGCACCTTTAATGGGAGGATCCGTACCTCTCATGAGGGGCCAAATCCCATGAGAGCTCCTCTTTGTCAGCACTTTTGACTTCCTCTGTCCTTTCAGTTTCTACCCAAGCCAACGACTGCACGTGAGTCACTATGGCAACCAAGCAGCCCCCACCTCTAATGAAGAAGCATAGCCAGACGGACCTGGTGAGCCGACTCAAGACACGAAAGATCTTGGGAGTTGGAGGGGAAGATGACGACGGGGAAGTTCATAGGTCTAAGGTAAGAACCACCTTTGTGCCCTGTGATAACCTAATACTATTCTGGGCGGATGAGATGAGGCGAACTTGGGATGGCCCTAAAGAGAGAGACAGAGGGGTCATGTTTGTTGCACCAGTGGTAGGTTTGTTAAGCATCCAAGTTTTGACTGGAACAGCTGGTTGAAGAAAACCCTGGTGGCTTTGGTGAGTACTGCTTACCAAGCTATTAAAGGTCCGGTCACTGGAGTGGCAGTGCTAAGGCAGGCTCCCTGCCTGGCTTGGCTCCATGCTGCTTACAGAAGCAGCAGGTATCTCTCAACTCCCTGTGGCCCCTATGCCCAATGGCGACCACAGAATCTCCTGCACTGCCCCTTCTCAAGTGCTGTGGCTAATGGGAGCAGTGCGGGTGGTGCCTGTGAGTACAGGCTATTTGCATCACTCATAGCAACCTGGTTGGGCCTCTGTTAGGAGCTGGATATGCCGACCACTTCCAGGCATAGCATGGAGCCAGGGCAGGCAGGGAGCCTGCCTTAGCTTTGCTGCGCTGCCAACCAGCAACCACCTGAGGTAAGCACAGCCCAGCCAAACCCCACACCCCAAATCCTATACCTCAAGTTGGAACCTTTCTGTACCCTAGCTCCCTCCCAAAGCCTTCCAACCTCCTGTCCCAGCCCTGGACCCCTTCCTGCCCCTGGAGCCTGCACCCTGAACTCCTTGTTCCAGCCCTGAGCCTGCCCTCACACTCCAAACCCGTTGGCCTCAGCCCTGAGCCCCCTCTTGCATCCCAAGCCCCTCATCCCCAGCCCCACCCCAGACTGAGGCTCAAACCTCTTTAGAAGATGCAAGTTGGACTGAGGAGAAGATTGGTTTGGATGGTGGGACTTGATTCCTCTCCTGGGAAAAGGAACTAAGCAAAAAAGGTGCCTATTTCTAAAAAAACATTTATGAATGTAGATTAACAGCTTGATCCACGAAGCAACCTGAAATGTGATGGGTGAGGGAAAGAAAGAGTGAGACAACAGACGCACGTATTGGTGGAGGAGAAATGGGGAAACTGTACTTAGGGCAAGAGAAAAGAAATAGAGATGTAGGGAGAGGTAGGGACTTGTTAGAAACTAGGCTGGGATCTCTGAAATCCTAGCATCTGCTTAGCTGCAAGATTTATAATAGCCCAGTGCCCAAATTACCACCACATATTATCTTTATGGCATAATAATCAGTGGAACCCACACCCAGGAATAGTGAATGTGTGTGTGTGTGTGGGGGGGGGGTTAGGGGGTCAAGGGTTCTTACCATTTGAACCTTTCCCTGTCCTTTGGTTCAGCAAGCCTTTCAGGAAGTGCTTTGCAACAGAGATGCAGCCACATCTGGTGTGGCATACAGTAGAATCACAGCCGTGGGTGGAATTGCCAGGCCTCTGGGGGCGGCAGGGCCTGTAGCTTCAAGCTGCTGTTCTCACCTTAGCAATGATGCTTCATACATTTGGAAATATACAAACCTCAGTGGGTGGTTTATATTCCTTTTGAGAACACAATCAGACATACACATCCATCCATCTATCTCCCCCACCTCTTACTCAAGCATGCAAGTGCACACAGACACACACAGCTTCATCTCTCTCTTTTACATGCACATACACTGTATTGCTCATACGGAGATACAGAAACAGAGTTCTCCATAGTCAGCAGTGTCTGTGTAAGAGCAATAACATAAAAGCTTTTGACAGGGGATTGCTAATGCCAGAGACTGCAAGACACTGAACAGCAGGGACTGACAATTGCTTGACGGAATTAGTCATTGGGCTTGTTCCTCAGTTGAGTTCATGCTTAGTACAGCTGAGCTGGGGAGACAAAGGTGGCTCTAAGATACCTCCCTAATATCAGAGCCATATACGGACTGATTAAGCCCCTGAAATAAGTCAGAGCAGCCACAGTGAATGGTCCCTCTAGGGCTCATAACATTGCTCCAGTGTTTAACAGTACACTCCCCTCCCTCCTCACTCCTTCTCACCTCTGTCACCCTGTATATCCTTTCTTGGCCTGCTCTGGAATGCACTGTATGCAGAAGGGAAGTGAAGGGGTTTTGGGTAACTTTATAACACCAGCGACTTTCACTCCATTAGTAGAACCCCCAACCTGCCCCTTTAGGCGTGTATTTTGCTGGAGCTGCATAAAGAGGAGTTAGTTGTTGTGGTCAAGTATCTGGCCCATAATCTTAGGAGTAAGAGATGAGAGACACACAGTATTAGGTCACTCTTAGTAGTAGGGATGTTAAAATGCATTTATTTGTGTAAATGCGTAACCACTGAAATTTTCAGCAGTTACACATTTAAATGCGAGCACTAGTTCCTGTTCCCCACCCCCACACACTACTGCCTCTGTATCAGAAGCAGCAATATGGGGGGGGAGGGTTTGGCAGCCCCACAGGCACTGGCTTCTGCCTGCTCCCCTCCCTCTGTGCTGCCATGC